TTTCATAGCAAAATAATGGTTCTTTCCCTTGATATATTGTTGCAATATTGACTTGAGACTGATTAATTTTCGGGTGGAGTTTCATTAGTACCTGTAATTTATTAGGATTTACGCAACGTTTTCTTTTATTATAGAAATATAGTTCTCGGAAAAAACGGCTCGATGGCTTAGTACAACCTAATGGTAATCGCAAAGTTGCAAGTCCGATTCGTCTTGTATTTTTTGTTGTTGTTTCATTCGTTTTAAATTTCATAGCCTACATAATTTTTCATTTCTTTTATCTAAATATGAAAAGTCGTGCATGTACTTTGAGTGATTCGCATGCATAAAAACATAGTGGTCAAGTTTTGCAAAATTTGATAAAAATTATTAAAGAAAATATAAAAATATTTTTTTAATTATAATGCGAACAAATATATCACATTTAATTTGAAGTAAAATGCTATGACGTTGACATAGAACCTTGTAAAATGCAAGTCTTATATTGTTGTATCATGGTTCGGGGACCTTTCTGTTGAAAATGTGTTAAAGTTAAATCGTATACATATACATGCACTGTAATACCGCAAAACGTCCGTACCGCAAAACGTTCGCGTGTGGACGTTTTGCGTCGCATATCGTACACATGTTGACGTTTTGCGGTGCATATCGTACTTGGTACGTTTTGCGGCGAGAGTGTGTATTGGCGCCGCACAATTTCTGTAGTAAAATATATTCACGAATACTTCAAGGACATTTATTCATCTTGAATTATAATTCTACTAGAGGTATTGCATTGAAATTGAATGAACGTAGATTACGACTTAATGTAAGACAGTGCTTCTTTGATCGACGTATTATCACCAGACGAAATTGTTGCAACAGCTTCAACATTTTTGACAGACATTTGAATGAAGTTATGGGGTTTCCATGACTCGGTTGCTTAATCCTAAGGCCATGCTAAGAAGGCAGTGATGGCTTGGCAACAGATATAACAAGTAAAATATAATTACTAAATTGCGTCCGTTTTGCCGCTCTATATTTTTTTTCTTTCTTATACATGAAAATCTTTTCCATCAACGCCGTTTATCTTTTTTAAAGATTTTTCTTGTAACTTGATGTATTAACATATTGTCACGTGGTATGGTCTCCCTGGTTATGCTAAATTACGATGAGGAAGGTTTTCGGCGTGATAGAATCGTTAAAGGGTTAGATACCGTTATATACGGTTCTGTGGGTTGAGTCCCGTTATGGTTTCCTACAGAACCGTGTATCCCCGTATCGGGTCAGTAACTAACCCTGTAACTTTTAAAATATTTTCTCAAAGATGAGATTGTAATTTTTGAACATCATCAATATGTGGAAAAAATGACGATAGTGCTTATTTCTGCTTGACGCAGCTCAAATATTTTGAACTACAAATCTAGTAAATGCAAGTTTGAAATTGTCATAAAATATAACTTTGAAAAATGATTTAATCTATAGGTTAGTCGGAAAGTCCGTCCCTTTACTAAAACCGTATTATTTTATCGCCTAAAGAACAAAACATTTCGCCTATAAGTTACATAGATAATATGTAATAGAGTATATTATAACAAACATTCTTCCGCATAGGAAATGATGAAAAAGAAGTTCAATGTGTTCTATTGATAAAAAATAAAGCATATTTTAAAATATCGTAATGTAAGCGTTTTGTTTGAATGCCATAATGTAATTTTATAATTGAACAATATAATTTTATAATTGAACAAAGCAAAAAGGTCATGGTAGCCTTATATCGCCCACCTGCCTATAAATGCTCCACGTGACAAGAGTAGATAGCATTGAATATTACAAATAAAACGCAAGTTCATTTCATGTACTTGGTCAGAATCTGGGTAACTGATTTCAGTACTCAATTCTACGTATGAAATGGTCATCAATATCCAAATATCTGTAAATGACAAAGATATGGTAATGTAAGCAAAATTCAAAAGTGACCTTGAGGTCAAGATCATTTCAAGGTCAATATTATAGTTGAACTATTCAAGATGTCCGTCCTGTCATAAATGTATGAATGACATCTGATCATTGATAAGAAAGAAATGGCAGTTTTATCACAATTCAATAGTTTGACTTTAAAATATGTCTTTATTTTTATTATTCAAAGGCAAATTACTCTTGACATATTCAGTCGTTTTAGCTCATAAATGAACTTGATCGAGACCTTATTGTTATACATATTCTGTATAAAATACTTTAAGAATGGAGAAGAAACGAAAACACTAACTTGGTGATATATAGTGCGTTTTTTTTGTTGTTGTTTTTTGTTAGATCTAGACTATATTCTAACTTTGTTGAGATTTTATGGTCATAGATATTCTAATGAAAATTGTCAAGATTAAAGAAGAAATGAAAGCGTTGGAGTGGTAACAATGCGAAATATAACAGATATTGTAATTCAAGGACAGATAACTCTTGACATATTGCTTAGGGTATGTGGATGCTAGAGTGGTAACAAGCTAAATTTGGAACACTTGATAAATACAGGTCAAAATTAACGAAAATTATATAAACTTTAAAATATGGACGTTATGCGGCAGGACCATGCCTTTTTGCCGCAAAATGTACGTCAGAAAAATGTAGACGATATGCGCCGCAAAACGTCCATATACGTACTGTGTTACAATGCACAGTGCGTTAACTGGAGTGCTGGTTTTAGTTACCCGCACCCCAGAGCATGCCCATTGATTGGTTCATTTTGTCTGGGATTTACATATTGTGACGACAGAGAAAAGGATAGCGATAGAAATATCATATTCAGATGCTCATTCATTGGTTACTTTTTTCTGGGGTTTCATATTGTGACATCAGGGAACGTGTTTTTATGTTTGACTATGATACAAAAGTGAAAGAACATCAAAACACTCGGCGATCAGATTTATACTTCAGGAATATGCCCCCTGATGTGCCCAATCAGATAGCCTCTTGTTTCGATACTCTTTCTATTACTTAATTTTAAGTTATTCATATACAGTTGTACAATACATCAAAATCCGTATGGTTCACTTTGATATGATGTAATCTATTTATACTTGATTGTCACTGGCTAACATGCTTTTGTCTTTTCTTAATATACATGTTTTGGTAATTCTCGTTTATTACTTGCTGAAATATTTTCTTGTAGAATGGTGATCTACATACACAGATATTAAGCAAGTATATCAGCACATTAAGACGATGTCAATACATATATATTGTATGTAGTGCTGTATATATTATACATGTACGTAATGGCGAATATATTATAAGTTGTACAAAGACGGTACAAGTGTCATACACAACAAAGATGTTCCTTTGAAAATCACCGAATGTCCAAAACTGTAAAAATGTTCAATCGATATTTTTAAGATAATTAGGCACTTGATGTTCAAAATAAAAGAGAGGAATTACCAAGATTCAATTTTTTATTGGCAAAAACATTTTTTAATGTCCATCGTTCAACGGTTCAATAAACAAATACTGAGGAAAGTATGTACATAATTATGATATGATAATTATGAATTAATTTGTAAATAGATTGATAAACCAATTTTTGATATCTCTAATTAAACATGCAAAGTTTTTATCCTTCCAGTTTCTATTCAAAGTACAAAAACGCTAGATAAATACATAAAATATAAACATGAGGCAAATACATAAATAATATACAGTCATCGTGAGAACTGGTGAAGTGAATATTGCAAAATAATAATACTAATTCTGAACCTTATGTTCCTTACAAAGACATGCTATCCGATAAATAGCAAGCCAGAATGAGCTAAGTAGCAACGCAACATATACATTTATCTCTTTTTTCGAAACAAAATAAAAAGAACAGAAAACGAGCCACACTGTGTTAAAAAGAGCCATTCATTATTTTCTCCGAATTTGCTTGTTTTTATCAAGAAATTGCGCAATATTTATGGTGTTCTATTTTTTTTTACCATATGATCATTGCAGTAGGCGGAGCTTAATTCTCCATACTTTAAAACTACCATATTTACTACTTAATAGTTTTACTTAATGAATTGACTTAATAGATATTGTGCACAGCGACAAAATATACTGTGGAGTGGAGCAAAAACTTTCAAATCTCTCGATAATGATGATAGAATGAAAAGCACAAGAAGTGGCAGAGTGAAGCATAAATAACATAAAATGGTTTTTAGTAAAAGCTAAAAATATCGTCATCCTACAGTGTCAGTAGAGAAATGAATTTATTTATTTGAGATTTAGCAAAAATGCATAAAAATGTGATTTGTTTTATAGTCCTCGTTAGACATATATGGATATTTTGTTTTTCTAACAGAAATCGATATGAAAATCAGAGTTGAAAAATTTCAGAAATTTGAATTTTTCGTAATTTTAATTATGGTTTCAATCACATGAATTATTTTTAAATGCCTTGGACGAAATTTAAGGTTTTTTTTTTTTTTTTTTTTTTCGTACATAATGTTTAAGTGACACAAACTTTCATAATCTATTTCGAAGGTATTAAGGATTTGTGGAGTTAAAAGACTAGCTGTCCCAACAAAGGCAACATGCAGCAAGTATAGTTGTCCCCGGAAGACTTACAGTTACAGTTCCTTTTTATTCTCAACCATATATTTGGCAGTGCCATTTTGCATATGTGTGTAAAGAGGTATTGGAATTAAAGTTTCCCGAAAATTAAAAAAAAAAATATCTACAAACACATAGATAACCCCAGTGCTTTGAGCGCTTTGATTATTACTGTTGGTTACTTGCTCGTTTGCCTGTTCTAGTTTCTAGTTACAAACATTAACAAGAGGAGCGTATGTTTTAACACATTCGGTAGATACATTAATACTTAGTGTTAAGTCTATAAAATTATATCAGAACAGAACAGTATTCAACAATAAGGAATTGAACTTACGTTCCTCTTCCAAACATTCAACCGGTATAAAGATAGGTCAATATACATGTATAAGCATATAGTCATATACTCCCAATTTTACATATCACAAGTTGATGTTGTAAAGTTGATGTTGTAAAAAGAAAAAAAAAGAAATCAATATTCAAAAGTGTACGACAATTACAGCACTTTATATTTTTAAGATAATTACGTAAATAACTTTTGAACTGAAATTTAGGAAATTTAATGAATATGATAACATTCTATCTTGAGTAGAGATCAATAACCATATCATATTAAACAAGCATATCCGTATTAAGTTTCGTTACTGATCATTACGTCATTCGTACTGTTTGCTAGATAGTCGTGGAGGAAGGAATAGAGGCCATATTAAATTTTTATCAATAAAGTGACATTTTAGAAATATTAAACGTACGTGGAAAGATAATTATGACATATATATGTGTGCACATAACAAAAGAAGTTATTTAAAACGAAAGGTAAGGTAAGTTTGTGTTACAATAAATTTTGATAGAGATTTCTTTCTATGATTTGTTGTAATTCAAATAGATTATATAGCATTTCTTCAAAGAAAATATTTCATCCATAATGCTTGCTTTGTTGTACTTTGTCTGGCTAAATGAAACGGTAATGTTTAATAAAAATATACAATCTTATCACACCTACTGCGACTCAAAACTTTCCTTTCATTGAGAGTTCGACTCTAGAAATTTCAATGTGAAAATAATAAAAAGAAGCATAAGCAATGAGCAGAAATTGTGAAAATGGAAAGCTTTAATTTTTACATATGAATTAAATGACATATCGGAACTGTATAAAGCGCAACAATTTATAGATAGATATTTTTATACAAATTCGTTTAGCCTATTCATTATTTAAGGATATGCATAATTACACACCTCCTCTATTGTTTGTGACAGGTCTATATTTTTCGGATAGACCTGTTTAAACAAAAGAAAGTCCGTTAGGAGGTCTATCTTTTGCACGTGCACAGGTCTGTTCTAGTCAGGCAGACACAGTCATGAAAAACACGTGAAAAAAAAGACCTGCCTATGCGCAGACAAAGAAAACATGAAATACAATCAACTAATTGAAAAATGAAAATAAAATGTATTTGATTGTCTATCTTACAAAATCTGGATACATTTTTTAAACAAGATAATGTTTATTGAATGTACTTAGCAATTATTCCAACATTCCTTTATTAAATCTAAGAATAACATAAATTGATAGCATTTCAAAATTTCACATTTATTAAACGCGTCATTTTTTTCAAAGTAATAGTAATCTAAGCGGTTCTTCTGTCATTAAGTTCAGAATATAACAACAATAACTTTCTATGAAACTATAACAGTTATCACAGCATACTTATTAAGCATTTAAATCACCTAATTCATAACATCTTAAAAGTTCGAGAAAATTCATAGTATATACAAATTGTACCAAACATTCATATCGAAAACTAAAACAAAAATATGTCCGTTTCAAACGCATTTGTGATTGAAATAACGTGCATTTGATATATGCTTTGCCTAGGAAACTGCAGCTACCCACAGTTAATAGCGAAGTCCCTGGTAACATTCCCACCCTCGGGATCAATCAGATTGTTAAATTCCTGTTAATCTCCCTCCTCTCTTTTTGAGTGCTTTATCCTGTCTTTCTATTCATTCGGTGAAAAATCAAAACTGATTTCCCCTGAAAACCTTCGAATCTAGGGCTTAGTTTCAAAGAATGCTACACAACAACATTAAAGATATAATCCAAAACTTGCTTATAGTAACAAGCATATACAAGTACTTAAAGTGGATTGGTCTACAATGGGAACATTTAAAAAAAACCGATAGAAACGAAAGATATGTATTCGGATATTATTAAAAAATCTAAAAAAAAAAGAAATGTTAATAAAGTTTAAAGTGATTTAGCATAAAAATTTATATGATAAGCGATCATATTTTAATCTAGAACACTTTATAATAACTGCTATATAAAATACTATTTCGGATTAGCCCCCTTTTTGCAGTTGGGGACATTTGCCCCGTCATATCTTTGTAAGGGGCGAACATTTGCCCCAACCCCTTTTTCGTTAAAATATTTAACTGTTGAATTGGTTGTTACAGAAATTCATCGCCTATCGTCGAGATTCATTTGCACTTAAATAAACAAAAACTAACGCGCAAATTTGTACACACAAAATAGTATCCATAAATAAATGAAATAATATAAATAAAATTTATACATGAAATGACTTATGACAAGTTACGATTCCCCACAGCAAAAAAAATGGGGCAAACGTCCGAGAGAGCATCTGTCCTAGAATTTGAAATGTTTGATACGAAATACTATCAACATAATTACGCATTCTTTTACATACCTTCAATTACAGACCCATTCGCTTTATTATTGACAAATTGCACATTTAGCTTTTTTGATTATTATTTTAAAGGGAAAGGCAAAGTTAAATGAAAACTATATACTATAATTAAGCAGAACGTTGATAAAAGCTTACTTGTTTATGCGCTGTGTTAACAAATAATCTTTGTGTATTACATCATATTTTTCGGATCAGCCATTGCTCAAGCCAATAGTTTTACGGTGTGTAAGTTGGATATCGGCCTCGTACATCGTTCTTTCTGTTTAGGAAAGACCTGGTCACGAATTTCTTGAAACACCTCGAGCGCTACGCGCTCTCGGTGTCACATGAAATTCGTGACCAGGTCTTTCCTAAACAGAAAGACCTCGTACGAGGTCGATATCCTATACGTAATATTCTTAAAAATAAGAGAATATGATTTTTTGTGTGGATGCTTGGGTCGTGGCTTTAACTGTTTGTGGTGCGCGATTCTCGGTGCAAGTATTCTGTTGAAAATCAATATGTGTTCAAAGTATACAATAATTGAAAGGTTTATACACAAAGGAAATTAATCAACCGTTAAAAATCAAATTTTTGAAATAGTCTTTTTCACAGGCAAATGTTTTTTTCTTTTAACATAATACCGCAATAAGTCTTAGTGCTGATTTATACTTTGATAATATAATTCTAAATACAAAGAATCCACACTTAATGTACTGCTATAGTTTACTATTTTCTTCCCTGAAGAAATTTATTTCCTTCTTAATTTAAGAATTATTACGCATTTATTTACGCGTATTTATTTCTACATTGTTATCACAGGGATTGTGTGTTTAGCCTCTTTTCTAATTCACAACAGGAAGTTATACATGCATTTAATAATTTTCCTGCTATCTTTACCAGAGTTATCAGAAGTTTTTATTCAAAGAGACAATGACCCATTTTAAGTCATACCGCATACTTGGTGTTCAAACCATTTACAATTGGACACTTTGATTTCCTCTTTGGATTGCATCTGACGAATTTAGCAGAAGAGTCTCTGCTGGACAGTCTTTAAAACCCTACGGAATGAATTGCTTTAACTTTCGTGCTTATAGATGATTTCCTTATAACTCTGCCTTCTTTTAAGGCTTCCGAGTGATGTTGTTATGGTCATTAGTCTGTATCGTCTTCTTTCTATATTAACATGAACATTTCTGTGTTTTACATACTTTGTTTAAAGTAACCATGACAATTGTTACAATTTTTTCTTGGCGGGGATTCATTTTATTCATATTTTCCAGTCAAAATAATAATAATATATTTGGTTTGGCGCTTATTAATGGTTTAATATCTCCAGTAGTGTTGTTAATATTGACCGTTTCAAAGACGTACCCCTTTATGTTTGTCTTGTTACATGTTTTGTTGCGCGTTCTGGATTTCCTATTTTGATACCGGTATTTCGATGCCATTATCAAGGAAGATATAACCAATTCATAATATACAGGTAAAACATACTGTAATACATAAGAAATAACTTTGAATATAACAAATTTGATTATTTACAATTAATCAATTGCATTATGACAAAATTTTGTAAAATTTTTATTGCATATCTCCGATTTGCTCATATTACAGTAATAATTGATAAATTATTCAAGGCTTTAAAGTGAAAGATCAACAAAACATCTCCTAAAGCATAGCCGCTTTATGACATTTTAAAAATAAATTTTTACTGTGCAAATACGAAAATGAAAAAAAAAATGCATTTTATTTCAACAACTTTTCTCAATATTTCATTTATAAGTATATTAAAAAATATTTATTGATATAATTTTGAAAATATAACAGCATAATTTTAACAGCACAACTGTTGTATTCAATCACTTCAATTTACTACTTTGTTATTCGTTCTCATAATGTATTGCAGAAATTAGTTTAAGCTGAAATATCGATTCTTGATATGTTATTAAAGATCGACAAATGCCATTAAGCATTGCCAAGCTAAAAATAATAGTTATTTCCCTTGATGTAATGTAATTCATAATTACATGTAGTACATATCATACGCAGTGTAAAGTCTATAACATTAAACCGATTAGAAATAAATATTCAACACAATACTTAATATTTATATATAATTACATAAATGATTTGAATTGAAAGTAAAGAACTTTAAATGAATGTGATAACATTGTATCTTGAATGCATGTTTAGAGAATATAAAATAGAGATCAATAACTATGTGTACTCATTTACATTATTGATTGTTACACCATTCGTACTGTATCAGGCATGGCAGCCATATATTTTAATGACGTTACATTTTGGAAATTAAGCGTAGCGTACGTTTACATATATAAAATATACATATGAGCTCATAATGAAAGAATACATTCAACATTGAGGTAAGATATCAGTTATAACTTGATTTTGATAGTGTTTATATATGTAATTTGTTGTATATGAAGTTAAATAATTTCAGATCAATACATTTTATAACTTTTAAATAAAATATTTCATCCATGTTGCTTTATGATTGTGAAATGCTTTGTTGTATATGGCTACATTTAACTATTGTATTTGATATAGTTAAACAATCATATTCTACGTAAAACAATTAAAAACGAGTTAAAATTGTCTGTGCACAGAATATATTCGCCAGTGTAATCTACATTCTAGACATTTCAATATAAGTATTTGAATTTCACCATTTTTGTATTTAAATGTTGAATTCTGCTTAAGCCGGTGCAAGGGGGCATGGACGGTAACTTGCACTTTCCAGTACAGTCCATGAACAGGCTCAATCAAACCGAGCCTGCAACATTTTCAATTTTGCCGTGTTGGGCTTTCTTTAGGGATTCTGTTTTTCCCTATTTTAAAGTAACCTAAGCAATTAGTAGGAATGGTCAAAATGAAAAGCGAAATGGCAAAATTGTAAATGTTTCTGGTTCAATTTAAGTGAGCCTGACCATTCAAACGTTTTTGAGTAGTTTAACAGAAATTATACAGCTAGCTACAGACGAATGTTTGTAAGACAGTATTGCTTGTCCTTCGGATCATTTCACGGATCGTTTCTGTCAATACTGCAAATTTATCTAGCATAATCATTTCAGAAATAGCTGCAATAAATTTGGATCAATAATTTCTGTGCA